CGAATGACTGATGTGACAAGCCAACATCAACAGCAGCCCTGCAGCGCCCCCACACAGACCCACCGCTCCCTCAACACCCTCTCCCACCCCACCCCTTTCCCAACAAGTGCCCCCATAGGAGTGCTGACCTGCAGCGAGGGCATGTCAAATAGGTTGTCAAAGAGGGCAGCCTCGCCGAAGCAGAAGACAGGCACAAGCAGCGAGCGCGTGTCGAGCGCCATGCGCACAAAGCCCACCTTGCGCGCACAGAGCACCACCACGCGCTCACTGCTCGCCGTGTGGTATGACAGCTCCGACTGAAAGGGGTCACAGAGAGGAGAGAGCAGAGAGCATAGAGCAGGGGGGTTCATGGGTGTGGGGCGCAGATGTGAGTGAGTTGAGTGTGGTACGAGGGCTGTGGAGATGCAAGGGACAAGGCGAGTTCAGAAACAGCTCAGCAGGACCCTTTGATCAAATTCAAGGAAGCATCCCTGCTTCACTCCCTCCCTCCCTCCTCCCGTAACCATTCTCCCACCGTCCCAGCCCCTTCCTCCCATATCCCCACATCCACCCCTGCCCCTCCCGTATCCCCTCCGCCCAGCCCCATCCACCGCCGCACCTGTCCGCCGGGGCACAGGATGGCGGCCTGTTGGTCTCGGATGGCGGCGGCGAATCCCTGGCGGGAGACCTCGCGCAGGCCGCCCCAGAGGGCGAGCTGGCGCAGCAGCGGCACGCGGAAGAGCACGGACGCCACCAGCGCCACGGGGCGGATGCCCGGCAGCAGCGATTCCCACGCACCCGTACGGAAGAACCACGCCATCATCGCCGGGAGCAGCCCGTGCGGCTGGGGGGAGGGGGAAAGGGGAAGGGGGGATTGGTGGGGCAGAGGGGGAGGAGGAAGAATGGGGGAAGAGGGGAGTGAGGAAAGGAGAGGGGCAAAGGCGGGAGGGGAGCCAAGTAAAACTGAAGGCAGCTGGCGCTGCGTGTTAGGAAGCAACAACGCATGCAGCGCGCGAGGACGAAACGGCGTGCGAGCAACGAGCGTACATGGTAGGTGAAGATGTATCGCTGAGAGGCGGGGTAGAGCGACGCGTGGCCCTCGCGCACGATGCGCACAGTGTTGAAGTAGGCCGCTGAACACTCCTCCAACAGCCACATGCAGCTGCGCGCGCGCGCGCACCACGCATGGCGCAACGTACCACAGCCGCCGCGGGGAATGCGCAAAGGGAGGGGGACGGGGGACAGGGAGAAGCGGGGAGAAACGGAGAAGGGTTGAGAGGTTGATGGGATCAGGCAAGGGACGATGGAGGAAGGGCGAGGAGGCAAGGAAGGCAAGGAGTTGCAATCAGTGTGGGGAGGACAGAAGGACACACGAACGGGTGTGGCGAGGGGAGGGGCACTCACTATGGTTGCAGCCAGAGCCAGTGGCTCTTGCCATTCCTCTCGCGGTCGTTCCCGCACGTGTTGCAATACACGAACGCCGCCAGCACGCCCGCATACACGACCGCCGCCGTGCGCAGCTCGCAACACACGGCGGGCATGCAGATGGCGATAGCGAGCGCGTGCTGTACCGCGTACAGGAAGCACACGGAGCAGAAGGATCGCGTCTTCACCCAGCACCACCACAGCACCTCCCACGCCGTCAACGGCGCATCCAGCTGTATCCGTTCCCCGTCCTTACTCTCCTCCTTCTCCTCCGCCGCGAGTAACGGCATGGATTCCGGAACGCCATCCGCGTCCGACGCGGTCTCGCCGTCGCTCCGCTCATCCTTCTCCCCATCGACTGTCGGTTTCAGTTTACTTAACCCTCTCTTCTCCTCCTCCACCGCCGCACCATCTCCCGCGCCTAAGAGCCCCTCCGCGCCCTTTCCCGCCTTCCCCAGTGCGCCCGTCAGCAGCAGCGACAGCATCTCAGCGGGTCTGCGCGTGGCGATGGCGAGCTGGCGCTCCGTCCATGGCGCGGGGCACACCACGCGCATCTCGCCCTTCTCCGCAATCGCGCCTGCGCCTCCCTGCTTCCCCGCCTTCCCCGCCGTGCCCTCCTTTCCGCGCGCTGCTACGGCAGTCTCGTCTGGCCCCTCACCCTGTCTACGGAGTAATACCCGCTTGGCGGTTTCCGAATCAGCTGCTGTTATCGTCGCCTCCTGCGCTGTCCTTCCAGGCGACTCACGAGTCGCGAGGATCAGCTTCGTCGGACTCTTACTGGGTGAATGCCGTTGGTTGGGCGGAGACGAGAAGTCGTTACTCGGCGCGCTTGAACATTCGCTGGGCGATTCGAAGATAAGCAAGGAAGCGATTAGGAGGAACTCCGACGCGAGACCGGTCACGCCGGCGGAAGCTAGGAGGCCTTGCCCGAGCAAGGCACGGCCGATGAATGCGGCGACGCACGCGACGCTGGAGAAGACGAGGAGGGAGAAGGCGAAGAGAGTCCACGCCATGGCCTGCATTAAGATGAACCGCACGCCGCCCACGAAAGGCTGGAAGAACATCCATGGCAGGTGGCGGTACTTCATACGCCCGCCGAGGCCGTGAGTTAAAACTGCCGCACAGCAGATCCCCGAAGCGCTGAGCAATGCCGACAACGCGACGTAGAAGTTTCCGGCGGGACTGCTGCTGGATGAGACGAGTACTCTGTCTATTAGGGATTCGTCCAGACGGACGGTGCTTATACCGAAGAAATCGCGACTGGTTCGGAAAATGAGATCCGAGACTGGAGACTGGTCGGAGATTAAGCGCGCGGCTCGAGAGATGATGTTAGGGCCCCACTGAGGGAATGTGTCGACTGCGGCGGCGAATGCGGAGGAACTCATGGCAATCATGAGGCCCACCGCCATCACCGCCATGAATCGCCGCTCCGCCGCTCGCGATCGCCGACTCGTCTGCGACTGCGGCGCCGGGGAAACCGGGCGCTTGGGAGGAGATGTGGCGAGGTCTGGAGACATGGCGGCAGAACGTGGAGTCTTATCAGGGGACATGCTTTTGTCTTCTCTCCGTACCATAGCGGAGAACTCTAGGTCGTCAGATTACAATGACGAGGACGGAAGGAGCTGGAGCAGTGTTGAAATCACTGGCTTGAGCCAGCAAGGTCAAACAGAAAAATGTACGAGATAGGGGAGACGGAGCACAGCTACTAAGTGCCAGGAAGAAGATTAGTATTCCCGTCACACACAAGAAGAACGCGAGGACATGGAGCCCATGCGATCTGTGGGTGTGTGTAACCACCCGCTATTCCCCAAACCGACCGCGATGGATTGAACGTCAGCGGTCCCAAAATTGGTCGCTTCTCGGCCTCGACCCTCTCTGCCCTGTCCTGTCCTGTCTGTTGCTGCTATGGTCATTCTCGCCGAGCCTGAATTGTTTTCCGGGGCCACACCACACAAGCACCCTTCAAACTGGTAGTCAGGTTCGGCAACTCCAGGGCAGCCAATGATAAGACATCCGCGCAGCTTGGAATCTGGACTGGTCAAATCTGGGGCCCACGCGCCCAGCAAGATGACATTTCGCTCTGAAGGTTCGCTGGGGGGACGAAGCCTGATGTGGTCCAAACCAGGGCTGGAGAAGCAAGGCCATTTGGCCTTAATGCCCTGAACATTCCGGGTTACGCTTGGAGCAGATCGACCGTTTAAAGTGCTAGAATAGCATGGCACCCGTGACAGTTAAGGGCCTTGTTTGGGCCTTCCTCTGAATCCAAGTTTTGGTTTCTGTGTTGAGCACATCCCCCCACCCTTCATCCCGCCGCTGCCCCCCCCGCCCCCCGCCCCCTCCATGACTTTGCCTACGAACCCCTTCCCTCCTCCCAATTGTTTTGCCTACGATGTGGAGGCTGTAAGATTGTTGAGCGGTAAGTATGCACCTTCCCTCTGCTAAGTAGAAGGGACGTCCTCCTTTGGACATTAGGGGAAAGTGACTTTTCTTAGAAGCCCGGATTTTAAGCCTTGATTTTGGCCTGCGCCCGTGAAAATCAGGGCGAGGATTTGAGCACCTCAGAATTTGAAAGTTTTGGTCCCAGGGACTTCGACAGCCCTGGTCCAAACTGCATTTTTGCTGGCGAGGATGACCTGGACACCACGCCAGGAGAGAAGTGGTGGTACGGCGACTCCAGAAATCAGACCGGCTGGTAAATGTACGATATCCGATGTTTTTTATTGGTGGGAGGCTCAGATTCAGGGGCGCGAACTTCTCGGCTCGGTTCGGAAAATGCGGGACATTTTGAAAGGTCAGACCTGGCTGCTGAATCCACCAACCAAATCTGGCAAGGTAACGACGGTCACACGTCATGCCACCAAAGAAGCTGCCGTCGCCGTCTAGATCTGTTGGTGCGAGGGCGACAACTCGTTCAGGCGATTGCCAGCGTACGGAGTGATCGCTAAATTATTGGTCAGATTTGCTGTCAGCAAAGCCTACTATAACTACCCGATCAAGGAGCGCCCAGGGCTCTCCACCTCTCGACCGTTCGTCCCCGTCAACCTCTCCTAAATTTGCGCAGCCCACACAGAGATGCTGACAAATTACCCCCATTTCGGCAACCTCGTTTTGCATCATTGAACTACCTTTCTTTTCAGTCCATCTCGTTCAGAGTCAGTGCTCCAAATGCTAAACCAAGCACCTTTTCCACATTCATTAAAAAAACATATGAATAAATGAAGGCTGAATATATGTTTTCGAATAAATAACATATTTTAGTGTATTTTTCATGCAAAAATAATTATACATGTTGAGATCTCAGAATCTGGTGCATTGCATGTGTTGGAAATAAGTTAGGTTCAGTGTCTACATATTGCTTACCAGTTGACAGAATAACGTTGCTTTGAAGTGTATGTAAATTTGGCACCACAATCAATATCGACTCACCAGCCCCTGACAAAACCTTATCCCTCCGATGCAGGGTTTCATTTTTCCAGCACCTTCCCCTCCCCTCAACCTTGAGACCCTCGCCTCCGCGCTCTGTGCTGCCCACTAAGTTCTTTTGCCGTTGTCCGTTCCGACACAGCTTTTAGAGTTAAAAATCCTCCCGAGGCAGGATGGGAAAGTCGTTACGGTCTAAGCGCATCCAGCGGTTGAAGGCAAAGAAGAGGGACATTGCGGACCAACACTACGACACCAAGGAGGAGCCCACCCGCAATATTCTCGAAGCTATAGTGGCAGCGCCGTCGGTGTATACTTCGCACGTCGAGAAGATTGCACAAAAGAAGACTGGCGGCTCATCAGGCGAAGGTATTCTTCGCCGAAAGACTCTCTGCCTCTCAGTTTCTTGTGCCTAACCCCATACGCTCATGCCAATATCACACACCCTCGTCTCCCTCACCCACATACTCTACTACGCCTTTTACATCCCCCATTGTTTACTTCCCCTGCGACCACCAAACGCCCCCTTTCCGTAACGCGCGCCGACTCACGTCAGATGCGGAGATGGACGCAGAAGGAGCGGGAAACGCGGAGGACGCAGCGGCCATGGACGAGGATGGAAAGGGCGCGAAGAACAAGCGGCTTGGGGTGCGGGGCAAGGTGATTGGGAAGAACAAGGGGACCCGGGGGAAAGCTCTCAAGGGGACCAGCGGTGGGCGCAAGTTCAGTTCGCGGAAAACGGTCAAGGGGAAGAAGAAGGGGCTGAAGGTGCCAAAGAAGGTGTCGGCTAAGATTGCACGGAAGTCCAAGTACCCCGTCTGACGCAGCTGCCACGTGGACTGAAATAACACAGTGCTTATTGAGCCAGGCCTTGGCCACGCTCTCTACAGCATGCGGCATCCTGCTCTGTTGCCAGCCACCCTGCTTTCCAAGAGTTCCCACATTAGCGTGGGCTGTTTCTGGGCCAGGAGTGGGACTCTTTAACTGTCCATATGGTGGTCTTTCTTTAGTTAGAGGTAGTGTACCATATTATTGGTGGAGCTGCCATGGTGTAGAAGTCTTGCGGTTTGAGGAGGGAATTGTCCTGCTACCTGATCTGCTAGATTGAGCTTTAGTGGAATATAATGTTACCGTACAAGCTGGAATGGCTAAAGGCTCAGATTGTAGTTGTGTTAGGCATCAACAATTCTAGGTTTTTGAACTGGCTCTGGCACTCTATTAAAACAATGAGTCCGTCGCCACATAGAAACTTGGAAACTGATGTGGCACTGCTAAGCATGTTGCTTGAGGACGGAGAGGGACCGCTCCATGGCATGGAGTATCATCCGCTTCACCTGCAGGGAAGGGCATCCAAAAGGAACACACATCGTCAGTTATCTGAATGCCCTGTACCTTTTTCAGATATCTGAATGCCCTGTACCTTTTTCAGATATCTGAATGCCCTGTACCTTTTTCAGATAACTGACAATAGCATTCAGATAGCATTTGAAAAGGTACAGTCCCCTTGAGCCTTTTGAAGCGGTAGTAACCAGCACAGGTAGCATTTGACAGGTGATCCTCACATCGGTCACCCACTCCCCCCCACCACACCTGCCACCCGTTTCCTTACCCTCATTCCCCTCTGCCCTGCCCCCCTGCAGCGCTCACCTCGAGCCGGTCCTCCTTGGAGCGGTGGTGCACGGGCATGGTGCGGACGTGCTCTGTGAGTGCCAGGCAGTGCGAGGTGCCTTCAGGGGAAACAAAGTCCACCGCTACCTTCATGTTTGACTGCCAGTGGTGGGGTTGGGGGAGGGGCAGGGTGTGGGGGTGGGGAGAGAGGGAGAGGGGCAAGGCATTGGAGCGTGACTGGTGCAGTAGGTGAGATGGCAAAGACTGGTGACGCAGTTGACAGGGACAAAGGTCCTCGGTTCACTTGTGCAGAACTTAGGAGCGATCCTTGGATGCGTGCATGCTTGTTACATATGTGTGTGCGCATGCATGACTTGCGTGCATGTGGCATGGCACTGGCAGACGCACCATGAGGTTTCTGACTTGGTGTGCACAGCCAGCAGGGATGAACACGGCCTCGCCCCTGCGCTGCTCAAACGTCCATGCCTCCACTCCTGCAGCCATGCAGGCGAGCAGGTAAATGGGATGGGAGCCGTAGCACATGCAGCGAAGGCACGAGGCGTAGAGGAGAGGTGATAAGGTTCGACAAGTGACAATAGCAGGCGACGGCATGGCAGGTACGGGAGGCAAGATTATGGACGATATGGATGGGAAGAAGTCCAGGGGCACGGGCGCAGGAGTTGGTGAGGAATGCATTGGGAGGATGGCTGGCTGCAGGCTAGTAATTAGGGACAGGGGGAGCATGCATGGCATGGGACATACCATACTCGTTATAGAGCATCTCCTTGTGCCGGGCAGTGAGGTACACTGTCTGGTCGTGAATCTCATCGTCCATCTGCTCTCACCCAACACACAGTCATGGAGTAGCGCGGGGAGGGCAGGGGGAAAGGAGAATGGGAATGTGAGCATCATGCCTCTCAGACATTTCTTCATTGAGAAGGAAACCTAACCTATGGACCAGGATGACCCCGGATGGATATGGATGACCACGCATGGGGAGTGGGGCACGGACCGACTGGATGACTTGGTTGTGCAGGTGGCGGAACTCGTGGAGGTGGCGAGCAATGAAGGCACGGATCTTGTCTGAGTCCTCCCGCCGGAAGATGTCCCACAGCGCTGCTCCCTCCTCCCCCCCTGCTGTCAGCACCTGCCCACCACTGCTCCCTGCTGCTTGCTGCTGCTGCTCGCTGCCCCCTCCACCTCCTCGCCCTTTCCCATTGCCTCCTTCCTTCTTTTTCTCGCTTTCACTCTTAGTCGCCACACCATTCTCATGCCCCGCCTCTGCCCCATTTCCCTCCGCGTTTTTCCGCATCAGCCCCTGCAGACGCTTGCTGGGCGGGCGGTAGTGGCAGTGAGTCAGAATATTCACCTGGAAGCAGGGAATGCAGAGGAGGGGGATCAGGAAAAAAAATGAGTTTATTCTTCAGGCGCTCCCAAAAAGCGAAATGTGGAGGTGGGGTGAAAACCGGAGAACACGGGAAAGGGAGAAGGAGGAAAGGTAATAGGGGTGCTCCTGCCGCAATAAAAGCCCCAACTATATCCCTCCTTTCTCCTCCTCACCAAACCCCTGCTCACCGCGTCAGCCATGTCAAAGTGCAGCTTCGTCACCGAGTCCCCCTGCACCAGCTCCTCCCTCACCCCATACGCGATATAAGCCTTGGGCCCCATGTCCGCCTTCGGGTCACCCTTCGGCACTGCCGTCGCCAGGTTCAGCAGGCCCTTCTCAGGATGCGTGTACTCGTGAAGCGGCAACGCGCCGAGAAACTCAGCGCCGTGCCGAGGCAGCCGATCCTGGAACACAGCAGTGGGCGGCCAGTCCTTCACCTTGAGCATGTCCGGTACCTTTGCACTCTTTGACTCGCCGTTCATGTAGCACTCGAAGAATTGGTGTGTGCCCAGCTCCACCTCGGTGCAGTCCTCGCAGTCCACGGCCACCACAGTGAGCTTCTCCTGCACACTGCGCCCCTCCTTGGTCTCTCGGAACGCGCGCCACATGACGAGTGGCGCCCAGCTGAGCCCGTCCTTCACGGAGGGCGGCATCACAAGGCGCACGATTATGGGCTCCCCGCGCTGCCAGTGCTGCTGGAAGTGAGCCACGGCGGGGGGGTTGTGCCCTATTGGGAGAGGAGGGTTGCCGGCGGCAGCAGGAGAAGCAGCAACAGGAGAAGGAGAGGCAAGATCTTGGGCGGTGGGGCAGAAGAGGAAGTTGGAGGAGGAGCAGGAGGAGGGGGATCGGGTGGAGGCCAGACGCAACCTGTGGCTCTCCGCCAGTTGTTGCAGGTGCTGCAGGTCACAGGCAGGGACGGCAGGCAAGGGGGCTGCTGTTGCTGTTGCTACAGCGGCAGGTTCGGCTGTGGTGGTGGTGGTGGCGGTGGTGGAGGCAACAGTGGCGGTGGTGGCGGCAGCAGGGACGGTGGTGGAGGACGACAGCTGGGGCCTCATCAGGAAGTCGAGACCACGTATTGGGGGGCCCTCCTTCCTTCCATACCCGTTCTCTCCCTTGCCTTCCTCCACCTTTCCCTTCTCCTTCTCCTCCGCCTTCCTCTCCTGGCATTCCTTTGCTTCCTCTCCCTCCTTGCCCGCTGCCTTATTAGCTCTCTTCCTGTAGTACCTGCCTACCTCCCTTTCTTTCTCCGCTGCTGCGTCTTGCTCCCCTGTCCTTCCTCCTGGTGTGGTTGTAGCAGCAACTTGACTGCCACCGCTGCTGCTTCCTCCACCACTCATCTCCTGCAGCACCTGCGTTGCACGTTGCTGGCACAGGGAGCAGCACGGGAACTGATCAGCAGCAACCAGGGGAACGTTCCCAAGTGCCACTTGTGCATTCCGTGCTGCAGCAGCGGCATCAGCAATAGCAGCAGCATCCATACACCCATTCGACTTCACCATCCCTTTTCCTGTCCCCCCAATCTCCTCTGACTTTCTCTCACCATCCGTTCCTAGAGCCTCCTCTGCCTGTGCCACAAGCTGCGTCAGCCACCCATCAGCATGCAGTGAGCGCAGCTCCAGCCATGGCCCCTGCCCGCCTTGCCCCTCGCTCTGCCTGCGCGCCTCTCTCGCACTGCTGCAGTCCTTGGAAGGGCACTGCACCCGCCAGTCCTCCTCCACCTTCCATCGCTCCACTAGATGCTTCGGCACCCCCTCCCTGCCCTTCTCATCTGCCCCGCCGTCTGACTGCTTCTCTGGCTGCTTCTCTGTCTGCTTCTCTTCCTGCTTCTCTTCCTGGTTCTCTGTCTGCTTCTCTTCCTGCTTATCATCCACCTCCCCATTATTCCCCTGCTTCCCAGCACCCCTTTTAGATCGCCTGCTGCTGCTCTTTCCTCCTGAGCTTTTCCTCGACTTGCCTATCCCCTTTCCCTCCGCCTCCTCTGTCTCTTCTGCTTTCTCTCCCTGTGCACCATCCCCCACCTCTTTCTCCTGTGCGCGCTCCTGCTCCACCATCCCCTTAAACGCCTTAGGCCCACCGGGGAGGGCCCCTGAGCGTGCCTCACGGCAGCATTGCAGGCACAGGTCGTAGGCGCATTCAGGGCAGCTGCGGTGCAAGCCAGCTATGCCCGTCTGGCAGTGCGAACTGGGAAAAGGGGAGAGGAGAAAGGGGAGGTGAGGATAGGGGCGGAAAGGCTGGTGTTAGGGACGATTGGAGGGAGGAGCAGGGGTTGAGTGGGTTGAGGAACGGAGGACGATCAGGAGGATTTGCGGTTTCTTTTCTAGCCCTCCATCCCTGTCCTACCCTACACTTTCCTCAAACATAGCCCTGCATTATCCCACTCGCGCCTGCAGTCATTGACCGTCCCACAGCCCGCACGTGTATCAGCCTACCCCCACTCACGCTTACCAGAATATTCTCTCGCCCTTGAGCAGCTCCGCGCGCTTCACCTTCAACGCTGGTGGGGGTGGGCGTGAGGAAGAGACATGCAGGTGGGGCGCGGGTGAGGGTGCGAGAAGAGAGGCGGGTGCGGGTTGAGGGGTGAGATGAGGGTTGAGGGACGGATGGGGCTGGAAAACGGAGTTACAGCAGCTGGGCGAGGCTGGCAACGCACACTGATCAAGAAGCGCCAGTAATGAGGGGCATGCAGGGCGTGTAGACAGGGAGAGGGGAAGGAACGGAGGGAGAACGAAAGCAAGGAGAAAGGGAGGGGCACAAAGGAGGCAATGACAGGGGAGGGGAAGACGTGGGAGTCTCACAGGAAGGGTCGATGGCTTGTCTGGCTGCCTCC